AGAGCGTGTGTGCAGCAGGGAAGCCATCCAGTCCCAGGGCTCCAGGATTCCTCTCAGACCCCACCTGGATTGACTGTACTGCTCCATTGCCTTGCAGGCACTGGTGAAAGGATGGTGATCTCCCAGTAAGGCCCAGGAGACGGCGTGACGTGGTAATAACTCTCTGCCTCCAATTTTTCTTTCTGGCTGTCCTGCTCCTCTGCCCGCCCCTCCTTACGCTCTCTCTGAATTGCCTTTTTCTGTTCCAAGGGCTTCACATCACGTGCTTTTTTCTGGTGGCCACAGGGTATCTGCCTCCAGTCTGCTGCACTGCTGATATAAGGCAGCATCTGAACCACAGCAATGACTCTTGCTTATTTCTGAGACTGCAGCTAGTTGCGCCTTGGAGCACCCTGGCTGCGCCAGCTCTAGCACTCAGCCCTAAGCTGCGGCCACTAGTCTCTGCCTTGTGGCATCCTGACAGTGGCCTGACTTGTCCTTGTGCTATTTCCTGATTTAGTAAGGAGAGGCAGTCCGGCTATTGCAGCACTCCAGTTCACATATATATGGTCAGGCAGGAAATAAAGCTAGTGCTCAGAAGGGCCGGAGTGCAAACATGATGGCCTCACAGGGACAGGACCTGTCAAGATGCTTGCAGGATTAGGTCCCTGTGCAGAACTTACTGGACAACACTGGGAAGTTACCATGTCCTGGGAAATAGGGAGGAATATCCCCTCCCCTCCCTGGCTTAGTGCAGCCGAGGGTCCCTCCCCTAAGTATACCAGCTCCCTCACCTATTCACTGCCTGTCTTTGCCCACAACCTTGCTTCCCTGACCACTTGATAAGAACCAGCATCATTTCCCCTACCCCCTTCTCCACCACTCCCCCTTTCCCTCTGCTGCTTACTCTCTCAGTGCCCGCTTCTGTCTCCCTCCAGTCCTCCCAGCTGTCTCTCAGCCCATACCTCTCCACAAGGACCTCCTGTTCTCCTATGTCCCCTACTCACTCTCACTCTGGCTCTACCATTCTCTTTCTCTGAGTCTTTCCACAAAGTTCAAGCCAGCCCTAGCATCTCCTCTTTGAGAAAACCTGGCTTGGACTCCAGCTTTACCATTCACTTCTAAATTCACAGGACCAGCTATTTACTGCTGCCTGCATGTCCTCTTCTCTGATGCTGTCCTGCACCCTCCCACCTGGCTCTGCTCTCTCTCACCTGGTCTCAGCTCTGAGTATTTAAGAGTCTGCAGCTGTGGAAATGCTACAGAAAACTTTCAATTCTAATGATTGCAAATATTGTTCACTACAGGTTAGCGAGCATTTTTTTTGTCAGCTCTGATGCTTCCATCAGTTTTAGTTCATTCCCTGATATGTCCCATCTGTTAGCGCTGGCTGAAAATGTTCTCCTAAAAATGAGGGTTTCCAAGTAAACAGTGTATTTACTTTTATGTTTCTGCTTCTTGTGAAAAATTGTTAACCTTTAGTCAAATAACAGAATTATCCAGCACCAAAAATTTTGGGCCCAATCCAAAAGTTTCAATTTGGAAATGTTGAATAATTTTATATAGACATTTTGCCTTTTGTTTTCACTTAATGTCCACAGTAGGTCAGAAAGAGAGGGGATTGTGGAGCATCGTGTGAGAGATAAGATTGGGGCATCCAGTCCTTGGTGAGAACTGGAGCATGAGGCAACTAAACCACAGGTCCCAGGAGGCTGTATGGCTAGGTGGCAGACTCAACTCAAGTGTTTCACTGCCCTGTAATGTTTCAGTCAACTTCAGCAAACTGAAGTGTTTTGATGCAGGTCAACCTGACCCATTAAATTCCCCCAGGAGAAACATTACCTTCTTAGCTAGAAACTATGGAAGTCTGTTCCAGTTTTTGCTGGATTAAAGAACAGGATGCTAAAAATGGTACGAAGCAGGGAGAATTTTTTCTACATGAGGATGCCCATCTGCACTACAGCTGCAACAGCTGAACTGATAGTAGTGTGTTCCTAAAAATTCCTAGAGTAGATTCCAAATAGCTCCAGGGATGGGGAATTATAAATTATGTAAAGGAGCCAATATCCAGATCTACCTACATATAAATGATTCTTATGCTAGGTAACTCTGACAGGGAGGGGGTTGACAAAGAATGGCAGGTTTGTAAAAATAAAGTTTAAAGGAAGCACTTTTAAGGCTTTTAGGGTAAATACTTCACAAGCTTAGTGCCAGAGTTTCAAAGATATTTAGGCACCTAAAGATGCATATGGACACGTAATGGCATTTCTAAGAGCACCTAAGTGAATTAGGCACCCAACACCCCCTGTTTTTTAATCAGCCACCTATTATGCCTTGTACCAGAAGCTTCTTGGAGGCCAGCACTACTGTTTATTATAGATTTCCACAGCGCCTCATTCAGTGAAATAACCAAGGCTTTTGGGAACTACTGGAATATCAAAAACACACTGGTTATTAGCAAGTCTTCATAGTTTATTATGTGATTCCACTGGGGATCATAAGGGCAGAAGCTACAGTGCTGGCAGAGCTTTTGCTGTTTTGTCTCTGTGCCCATGTTGGCTTCTTTTATACAGAGTCATAGTTTAAAGCTCTTGAGATTTATAGCTTCTATTGTTGTAATTATGGACAAGCTACCGCAGTGTGGAATTCTGGCCATGGTGTTTGCTGGCGTTCAGTATGTACTTCTCTGCAAAGCAAACTGCAAAATAAAAGTTTCAGAGCCAAAGGCTGTTGTTTTGTGGTTGCTTTTGCTTGTTAGACTCATTATTTTTGAGCTGGCTCAGCAGAACATTGGGTAAATTATACTGCAATGTTCCTTTTTGATGTTAAAATAAATTATACAGTGGAGGGTAGTACAGGAATGCAGGCATTGTTTAACTAAATTGTACCGATCTTAAGTAGTTCTGACTAAGTTCCTGAACATCTTTGTATTAGTTTTACTGACTAGTTAACATTTTTCTATAAATTTCTATTGTGATATAATCAGGTGCAAAGGAAAATAATGTTAAGAGTCAAAATCTGGATTGTGAGGTTTAAGACAGAGGAACAGTTATGAATTCTTCCATGTTATATCTTGTTACTAACAGAACTGACACATCCACTTACCAATGGATGGTAAGTGGGCTGGACATAAGGAAAAATGTCTTTACTGTCCAAGCCCCCAAGGCCTGGAATAGGCTCCCTCCAGAGGTGGTGCAAGCACCAACTCTGGACACTTTTAAGAAATGTTTGGATTTTTATCTTGGTGGGATCCTTTGACCCAAGCTGACTTCCTGCCCTTTGGGCAGGGGGCTGGACACGATGATCTTCTGAGGTCCCGTCCAGCCCTAATGTCTATGAAGTCTATGAAATCAATAGATAAGTTTCCCCCTCCACTTCCAGTTTTACCCCCAGTCCTGTTGCACGTCACTCTGAGATTGTTGTCACACTATTACCATAAAGCCTGAGAATTTGGGGTCTCCCACCTGGAGACAGGGGAGGGCTGACCTGAGCAGGCTTGTAACAGCACTCAGGGTTTCCCATGTTCAAGGTGAGGCTCTCCCTAGCGCACAGCTCCAAGATATGGACCACCTGGCTTGAAAGCTGCAGCTACTACATCACAGACAGTCGGGTAAACTCAGCGTGAGGTAGATCAAGAAGCAATAACTGACCAGAACAGTTAAGTGACAGCAGATCAGGGCAAAGGAGGGAAGCATTCACATGTCTTCTGATGTCCTTGTCAGCATCAATCAATCAGGCCTGTAAACTCTACCCTCATAAATTCCTACAACTTCCCCTGAACATTTCCAGCACAGAACATTTCCCCTAGCCCCATCTGGTACCTGCACTGCTGCTCAAGTATAGAGGATAAGCAAAAGCTATTCATTGTGCACAAATGTACTGCATCCAAGCCAGGTTTACCCCTGACTGCGTGAAAAACTCACTCTCTCAGATGCTGGCATCTAGTGAGGGACCATAGTCTGCAGCTCCATGGATTGAACACCACTGCTATTGTTATCAGCAGTGCTACTGGAGTTGTGTATGCCAGTTTTCCTGTAGCTGTTGAGTGAAAAGGAAGAGGATCCACTAGGTCCGTGCTAAAGGACAATGCAAAAGTGCAGGCCATAGTAATAGAAACCAAGGGAGGAGAAGCTTGAAGTGAGGTGGAAGGCATTCATTGCTGCGCCAGCACCTTTCATACAGCTCCAGGGGAGTCAGGTTGGGGAGGCCTCCTCCTGGGTCAGACACAAAGCAAGAGAGTCTGAGCCTTGGTATAGAATCTGGGGTCTTCCCCCCTCGCACGCTTGCTCACAGGGAACAACTCAAACCCAAGGCTTGTGTGGCAGGGAGGAACCAAGAATTAAACTGAACTGAAGTGCCTTTAGGCTCAAGCGTGGGGAGCCTGGAGATCTCCAGTATGCCAAGTGGCTCGCCCGTGCTCTCCTGATTGCTGCAGACCATTCAGATTTAATGAGCTTCAGTTCCGGGCTTGTTCCATGGCATTTCTATGGTAACTTGTAGGAATCCAGACTGGCTGGTTCTCCTCTTGGTAAACAGAAATCCTGAAGGTGACATGGTCACAAGTTCCCTAAAAATTCTCTTAAGAGAATTAGCATTCCAATAGAAAAGTGTTTGTACAATGGTTCCTTCAACTTCACGAGGCATTATTGTCCAGGCAGAAGCAAATGGTAAGTCCTGGATGCCTGTCAGGGGCCCTAACAGGCACCTCAGCCCTTACTAATTGCCTAGCCTGCCTGAGGCTCTAACTGGCAGCCCCACTGGCTATGACCCAGCTGGCCCATGTCAGGGCCTCCTGACTGAGGACCCTGGTAGCCTCAGCAGCACGAAGTCCACCTGGGAAGCGGATTGGAGGCTAGCCAACAGGTCTGCCCGAAGATCCTCTGCTCTTGTTTTTCTGATTTCGGACCCTGCTCAGCTCTGCTTCTGGACTCTGGCTTTTTGGAATTCTCCTTGGCTTTGGTAACTAGATCCCTGACTCCTGAACCTTGCCTTGGCCTGTGCTTTAGACTCCACCTCTGGCTCTTACTTTCTCCAGGGGCCTAACCACTAAGCCAGACTGCCCATGACCCAGTCTTTATGACATCTTCCCTCTTCCTTGCTTTCTGTACCTAGTCTACATGATCTCTAGGCTGGAATGATGCAGCAACATTTCTGGAAGGTGGACTGCCCCGTG